CAATAACTCACACACAAATGTTCTTAGCAGCATTGGTCCTAACAGCCAGTAGGCAGAAACAACCCAGCAATGCCCATCAATGGATGAAAGGATAAACAAAACCTGGTATATCCATATAGTATTATTTACCTAAAAGAAGGAATGAGGTGCTGACACACATGCCAACATGGATGAACCTGGAAAACACTGAGCTGAGTGACTGAAGCCAGTTACCAAAAAACCACGAGTCCATTCATCTGAAAAGTCTAAAACAGGCAAATACACCGAGATGGAAAGTAGGCCAGTGCTTTGCTCAGGACTGGGATGGGATGGAGGATGCAGGGACTGGGGCACGACAGCCAGTGGTGCAGAGTCTTTCTGGGGGGATAGGAAAGTTCTAAAATTAACTGCGGTGATGGCTGCATGACTATTCTAACAACCACTCACTGTGTACTGGAAGTGGCTGAACTGGATGGTACAGGAATTCTACCGCAACACATCTGTTACCAAAAAATGCTACCTTCTGAATGCTGATGCCTCCCAAAGAGAGTTGCCAGATGTCATAAGTAAAACTACAAATATTACATAGTTCATACTTAAAATAAAGATTGTTAATTGTCTATCTGAAATTCAAATATAACCAAACATCCTATATTTTATCTGGCAGCCCAACTTCCAAATCTATTATATTCAATTTAGAATGCAGTCATTTTCAGTTTGAGAGCCATATATCCATGTATACAACTGTATTATAGGTAAATCTATTTGATTATGCTCCAAACAGCAAACAAACATGAATGAAACTAAAATCATCTCTCATTTCCCCTGAAGAAAAAGTGAACACACATGAACTGGTACCTGGTACCTTAGGGCTTGTAAGTGGAGGGCGACTGGTAGGGGTCTCAACCCCCAAGGCCTTGGCACAAACACTAATTGTCGGATCACATCACAGGAGGGAGTTCAATACATTAATCAACAGCACACTTGCTGGCAAGGACGGACTGAAAATCGGGCTCAGAGCCTCAGACCAAAATCGGCTCCCGTCTTCCTATGCTTTGCCACTATCATCTCTAACCCAGAAATCTCACGTCCCCCCATTAATCTCCACAATGTGCTAATTTACTTCTTTATTTTAATGTCATAACTTTATTTTATTTTTTATCATTACTAATAGCAGTGTCTCACTATGTTGCCCAGACTGGCCTCAAACTCCCAGACCCTGTGATCCTCCTGCCTCAGTCTCCCATGTAGCTGGGACTACAGATGCACACTGCCACACCCTTCTTACACCAACTTACTTACAGAATCAAAATCTGCTGTCTTCACTCTCCTGCTTAAAATTTTCCATACAATGGCTCCCGCTGTCTTAGGATGAAGTCTATCCACCCTCTGTGTGATTGTAAAGACCCACTCTTGCCAGGTGTTCAGCTACGTCATTCCTTATAGTTGACCTCCCCTGTCCTGGTGCACATGGGAATTCTCATCATTCCTAGTCAAGCTATAGATGCCAGCCTGAGATGCCTAATCCTCCATAAGCCTGTCACTCAGGGCTCCAAACATGACCTATCATAGAACTGTCTACCCCCGATCTATACAGCCCTGGAGGACTGGGGGCTCTACAGGCCAGTGATTGGCCTGCATGTCGGGCATCTTGGTACCAGCTGTCTACATAGTCCCTGGCAGAGGACAAAGGATCCCCAAAATAGTACGAATCAGTCCATCAATCAAGGACCAAATGTTAAAACCACGTAACTAAATGGTCCAAGGGTCCAGCTGAGTATTTATCATTGCTCTTTTCAGACTGAAATCACAGAAATACACACAATGATTCAAATCATGTAAGAAAAATTTTCTTCAAAAGACCAATTGGTGTTTGTTAAAATACGTCAAAATCCCAAAAAGGATAAAATTCAGATTATTACTTTTTTTTCTTCTGTCATGCACAGACACATCAATTTAAAAGGGAAGGGGGAGACATAAGCAACTATTTAAAAGGTCTTAACAATTTGACTTTCTTATCCTGGAATCCAATATAACTGTGAATTAAGAACAAAAATGTCTTGAGGAACCAGATCTAAGGCGTTATTTAAAGGAAATACAATCTTCATGCAAGTCATTATGCCATACCGTGGGCTAAAATGAACATAAACCACGCTACAAAAATGCATACAAGTAAATAAAATTAAATTTAAAGTAAGTAAAGAGATCTCAATGGGGGGGAAAAAGCACACAAGAGTAGAAGATAAATTTACAAATAAAATCAGGCTGTAAAATGCATGTTTCATAGTCCTGTATATTAGCAAGAAAAGGGTCCAAAATGTGGCTCTACTTTTGCTGGTGGTCTGTCCCATGCACTGGGCCGTATGAATTCTAGTATCCTTGACTTGTCACCCTCGCATACAGTACAGCTCCATTCCTTCTACGTGATATTTCCCAGGTCTTCTCTCAGTATCATCTTCCTTCTGATACTTCTAAAAGCCCACGCTCACCATTTTTATTATTTTTCACCTTTTCTGTTTAAAAATAAAAAACTTATGATAATAATATCGTTGTTATATAGCTATACACACAATACACAGGCCACATGGCGATCCTATAGCTAACACAGTATAGGATCGCCACATCTCCTGTCCAGTGACGAGTTCATTTTCTATAGTATTCCTGCCAGAGTGCAGCCAGACCTGCCACACGGACTGTCTCACCTTAGGTATGTTCTGTATTAGCCCAAAAGTTGATACCATGTGGTGATTTACGACGGCTTTTTGTAAACACGAAGGAAGACGATGACTATGAAAATTCTGTGCTAGAATAAAATCAAGTTTTGTGTTCATCCGATTCTAAATCACACTAGCAGCTTCGACGGCAGGCAAAAGAGCATAAAACCAAAAAAGCACCTTTTGATTCACTTTAAAACTAAATCAGTTCAGACACATTTCCTTTTGCTTGACCAAGATTTATGCACAAAAGCTGAAGGCTTCTATCCTCCGATCTTAAACAGCCGCATTTGGAATACACAGTGAAGCGGTTTGCTCCAGCTGTTTAAAGCTGCAATCCCAGGAGCTGGCCTCCCAGAGGCATTGTAGACGTCACGTATCTGAAAACTAATAGGCTGGGTCAGTCAAAGGACAGCCTCGAGGTCTGCATCAGTTAAAAGTAGGGAGTGGGAGGACTACTAAGAAATGGAGAATGTTCTAGAGGTACACAACGAAACTAATTTTAAAAATACATTTTATAGTAATTACCGAAAAATCCTTGGAACGGTACATGGGTTGCTGTGCTATGTGAATACCAGTTTATTTGTTTCACTGTTTTTATGAAACCAGATATATCAGCATCCTCCAGGATTCTTCTTAGCCACTTATTATCAACATATACGATGAAAAACAGCCTAAGCTTAAAAGTCAAGCCAGGGTGACTAAAAATTTGTTTTATACATTAGTTTCATTCTTTTAATAGAAATAGCAACCATCTCTGCAGTTCCTTTCTGGTACTGCTTTGCATGCTATGATAATTAACTTTTTCCTCAATATTTAATAATGCCTGCTTACAGTCACATAACCTGCATCACTGAGAAAGAACTGAGATCGTCGCTATTTTCTTTGAAACTCGTGAACCACCTTCTCAACAGGTATTATAACTCCCATTTTATAGGTAAGGCGCTGAGATAGCAGCCATGTTATAAATACACACAAACGCGTCCACTTGTATGGGGGGGGTGGTTGATCCTATTGCAAGCACATTTTATTCCTTCTATTAAAATATCAACTCAATCTAATAAACCCATAGCTATTCAACTTTCATACATTCGACCTAAGAATATTTTTATGAAGGTCCTACGGAGTGAGAAACTTCATCAATTACAACAGCAAGCCCATTTCTCGTGTACCCCAAAGATGGCAAACAAGCTACCTAAATTAATTTAATGCACAAGGATATCTCGGCAATTCTACTGTTATTTAAAAATTAGGAAATGAACTAAAATGCTGCAGTCTTGAAATGTATTGCGAGGTAAGTGGCATGTATCACTGTTTTCACTTGAAAGTGATCACTACTCAGAGCGGAGAAATTAAGTAAATTTGACAAGGGAAAACAAAATATATATGTATATAAAAGAATTCTCCCATTCTAAGAAGCAATTGCAACTCAGAAGTTGCTCATTTTCAAATGCCAGACATCAATTAAAAGCTTCTTATGACAGACAACCGTAACAAATTTAGGTGAATTAAATATAGGTCCGGATACGGTTAAGGCATAGGTTTCTGCCTCCTACAGACCCAAGCGAGACTCTAAATTTCTTTCAGCTTGAGTTAGATGAGAGAAAATGCAATTCATATTTCCAGAAGCGAGAGTGGCGTATTTTCCAGTAAGCTTCTTGTTCTCATTTTACTATTTTAAGACTTCTGATCATTCCCAGTGTTGCTGTATGGCAAGACCCGATTTCTGCTGGGTGATCTTTTTTATGGCACGATGCTTTACTAAAACCGTCTCCCAAAACTGCTTTTATTCATATTTAGCTCTGGTGTATTTATACACAAAATACCATTTCGGTGGAATTGTGCCAATAAAAGAAACAGCTTACTAGGATTTCAGTTGACTTTGTTAGAGGAAATTATTTTAAATGAATGTGGCTACTGAACTTCTGCCATCCTTGACCTCAGAAAATAGATTCCTTCTAATTTTTGCTGTGAACATTTATTTAAGTTGAATGCCAGCTCATGAATGTTGACCATAAAGGAGTTTAAACTTCCCTGCTACTATTTCGTATTCTTTTTCTAAACAGGGGCGACCACAAGGTTGCTACATTAGTATGCACGGCCAGATCACCGCCATTAAGTGAAATCATCGATGTATTTTTGGTAGAATCTTTAACAACTTCCATGCCCGTCAGTGACATGGAACAAGGCTGTTTTGTTTTCAGACAGCAACAATTTGATCTCGGTTTTACTAGATGGTGCTCGAAATATTTTTCCATATTTTTTTTTGTTTTTCCGCAAAGAGAATCTGACATCAGCGTGGTTTACCTTTACCAGTGAATGCAGGCTTTTTTCACCAAACATATCCCAGAGGAAGGTCAGGTCTTCCTGGCTATCTACATGGGGCTGCAGCTGGGCTGGCAGTGCAGTCAACAGCTCATACAGACCTATAAAATGAAAATAAAACACAGAGCGTAACCTTAGAGTGATCTCATTAATTTCGCTTAAGGTGTGTTAAATGACAGCTGGAACATGTCGTTTTTTTTTTTTGTTGTTGCTGGGTCTGTATTCTGAGCCATCAAGTGAAAACACTTCCCCAAAGAAGCAGAGGAGGGTTTGGGTGGGTTTTTTCTTATTTTTAAGTTTCAAAACGGTATGTATTAACACATCAACTTTTTTACCTTCTGTGCTTGTCAACATTTCTCCAGTCATCCAAGTTTACATCAGCCAAAGCAGAATATGTGTACAGGTTTTCCAAAAAAAAAAAAAGAAGAAGAAAACGCATACATTCCTTTCCTTAATCGTTATTACATTTCCCTCGATGCGAGCCAAAGAGTGAAATGAGTCATGGATAGGAAAAACTTCCTTAGAAGAGCAGAAAATTGATAGGGTGGTCCATTAAAAAGGTTCCGTAGTTTCCAAATAGTTGCGAATAACACATAGCTTCAAAAACATTTCTGTTATCTAATACATGGGGTTGCATTATGGTAGTTAACCATTTAAAAAAAAAAAAACAAACAACTACATAAGACTTAGTTTACATTTTGGAGATGTAGAGTTTATCGGACACCCCTGAAAGAGTTAAAGTAGCAGATGCAGGTTACCGGTGGCGTCTGCAGGAGACGTCCTGGGGGTAGACAGTAGCGCAGTGTTTCAGGGCAGCGCGCTACGCTAGGTAAACCATCCGTCTCCATCAGAGCCCCTCAGACGCCTGTCCAAGAAATGTAGCAACAGTGCTTGCCCGCGACTCTTTAGGGAGGTGACCTGGCAGAAGTCAGTATCAACTCATAGCACATGTTTCATTTTCCAGTGGGATTACAGGAGGTAAAAAGGACAAAATTCCTTTTATTTCTGTCTGTTGTCTACAAAAACACCAAGATCTCCCGGGATCTACAACACACGGGACTGTTGTTATTTTTGGTCTGAATCAGTGCTGCTGTGTATTGGAGGGACAGATTTACAAGATATTTAACTGGCAAAAAAAAAAAAAAAAGTAGAAAATTATGGGCTGCCGATTCATCTATCTATTATCTTCCGAAAGCATTGTAATATTCTACTGACCAGTGATGAGTCACAACCCTTTGAAAGTTAGGTATGTAATTTGGGAGGCTGGTTGCATTCAAACATTCCTGGGGCTGTATTTGACCCCACCCCAAAAAGCTAAAATACTCTACAGAAAAAGAGAAAAAAAAACTTTCAATGACATTCATAAATATTCTTGGTGGTTTACATTTATTCCCTTGAAAAACCTGGCATTGTCCCTAAGTCAGCTCTTATTTACAATTTAGAAAAACTACTTTTAAGGTGTTTCAACATAACTCAATCCATAATAATATAGTCTCATTATGTACATGTTATATAGTGTGTGTGTATATATATGTATATTATATATAAAGTTATCAACGATTGCCAAGATCAGATCAGTGATTAAGGTCAAAGGTTCAATATACGAAATTAAGTAAAGAGAGGGCAGAATTTCATTATTCCGTTGTTGATTTAGGTAGCTGTAAAAATAATTACCTATTCCTTGGTAATATGACTTAAACGTTTAATTAAAGATACTAACTCAACTGTGATATAATTTACATGGTGTCAATGTCGGGAGGATTGAAGGAGTCAGTACATTAGAACAGTCCTTGTCACGTGATAAGGACTCACTATGTTTCAGAGGGAACCCAGTGAGTGTTGGCCATTATTATCATTAATCATATTATTACTGAAAAAGCAAAACTCTGGATCAGACAGACTCGGATTCAAATCCCACGGCTACACTTAGAGCATTTGTCATAACTTATCTGAGTCTTGTTTGCCTCATGTGTTTCAAAAGAAATGATAAACTACACACGTGGTTAAACTGCAAAGAACCAAATATACACAGACACACACAAATGAGTGCACAGAAAACATGAAACCTGATTGTATCAGTGGCAATTTCCCAGTTGCAATGCTCTATGACCCTGGTCCCTGACCCTGGGGCTGTGGACCAGTACTCATCTGCGGCATATTAGGAACCGGGCTGCACAGAAGGAGGTGAGAGGTGGGCAAGCAGGTGAAGCTTCATCTGTCTTTACAGCCGCTCTCCATCGCTGGCACCACTGCTAGAGCACTGCCTCCTATCTGATAAGCTGCGGCATTAGCTACGAGCACGAACCCTACCGTAAACTGTACGTGTGAGGGACATTGGTTGTGTGCTCCTTATGCCTGGTAATCTGAGGTGACAATATAATGTGCTTGAATCATCCCCAAACCATCCCCATTTCCCCCAACCCCAGTCCATATAAAAACTGTCTTCCATGAAACCAGTTCCTGGGGTGAAAAAGGCTGGGACCACTGCTCTAATCCAGTTACGTAAGATGTTACCATTGGTGGAAAGTGGGTCACAGGTACATGGGATCTCTCTGCATTATCTCTTACACCATGTGAATCTACAATCATCTAAAATAAAATTTAAATGCAAAAAAAAAAAAAGGAATTTGTGGTAACTATGGTGGTTGTAAGAATTCAATGGAACGATGTAGGAGGCAGCAGTCAGCCCTGGGGCTGGCAGGGGGCAGGCACTCCACAAAAAGTCCTGTTCTCCCTTCCTTACCGTGTCTTCCTCCAGAGCGAATATGTCACTTCAATTCAATGGTTCAAAGTCAAAACAACAGCTTAGCTGTCTATTCCAACTGGATATGATACCATACTCAAAAATAGAACCACCCTAGTCTTTTACATATGGAAAGTGTTAACTTTACCCAAGTGCTGCTCACATTTTGTGGGAATAAGCCATATTATGTTTGAATATTTTAAAAATGATTTTTCTGTTAACAGAAGCTCCTAAACCCGACTTTTCTGGGTAATTTTATTAGTTTTATGCAATCCTAATTTATACACCACCATGCTTTGGCATTCTGGTGACAACGGCAGTCTCTTCACTGCAGCTTCTGCATCTGGCAACCACGGCCAAGGCCAGAAGAGCCAGGAGAGTGACAACTAGAAATTAAAGACATGGTTAAAAGAGCTGCCGTGCCAGAGCTGTGTTCAGTCTCAGTGATGGTAACACAGACGACGACTTCTAATCAAATAAATTACACAGACCCTAGAAGCCCATGAAACTGAGCGTGGTGTTCTGACATGCATTTTTAAATACTCCTATATTCTATTCCTAGAGTTTCAATAGTGAAAAATACTACAAAATCTAAATGGTTTTGGTCCTGAAGACTCCAAAGAGAGTTTAGGTAGCAAGCTACTGGGTCCCTGAGCAAAAACTGGGACCAGGAGTGAGTTTCCCTGCACTCTGGGACCAGGACTGAGTTTCCCTGCACTCCGGGACCAGGACTAAGTTTCCCTGCACCCTGGGACCAGGACTGAGTTTCCCTGCACCCCGGGACCAGGACTGAGTTTCCCTGCACCCCGGGACCAGGACTGAGTTTCCCTGCACTCTGTAGTCATTCAAACCCATGAAGGCTTCCTTCCAATAAACGCATCTGGTGGCCATGAGTCCACACTGTTCCAGGATCTGAAGATCTAAGACAAACCAGACGTGGGTCCTGTACTTGGGCATTTATAGTGGGGAAGACAAGCACAGGCAGGTCTGTTAGCAAGGGTGGGGCAAAGACAGGGGAGGTGGCCAATTCTGCCAGGAGGAAGGAGACATCAGAAAAGTCTTCAGAAAAGTTAACACTTGAGTTGGGTCTTTGCTATGGTTTGGACGTGTCATGCCAAAAGCACCTGTATATTTAATCCCCCATGAAAATGTTGAGAAGTGAGGCCAAATGAGATGTCATTAAAGGGGGCAAGTCAGTCCCCTTTCTTCTCTCTCCCTCTCTCATCCACTCTTCACTCTTCCACCATGTATCATACAGCAAGAAGACCCTTGCCAGATGCCTGCCCCTCGATCTTGGGCTTCACAGTCTCCAAATCTGTGAGCCAATAAATTTTTGTTCATGATAAATTGCCCAGCCTATAATATTCCATTACAGGAGCCAAAAAAGAACTGAGATAGGTTTTAAATGTTATGCTCCTAAGCATCAACATTTACTTAGAGTTGATGTTCAGAGCACTATGCTAATCCCTAAAGATAGAACTAAATGCGAATATACTGCTATCTCTTCCCTCAGAGATCTTCAACTTTGAATATAGTGTATATGACCAAACATAAAGCAACCCTGTGTGTATATGAGGATCCCCTTTTGGCCCAAGAAAAAAATCCAAAACATATTTTCATCCAAATAAATGCACAGACATTTAGACTACCAACATTTAGGCAGTATCTACTCAATTATTAATACAGAATTATTTATGTCTAATTAACTCAAACATCTAATTGATTTTTAGCGATAGTGATAAAAGGCTCATGCCTGGGCGGTGCCTGTGGCTCAGTGGGTAGGGCACCAGCCCCCGGCCCCAGCCAAACTGCAAAAACAAAATAGCTGGGCGTTGTGGTGGGTGCCTGTAGTCCCAGCTACTCGGGAGGCTGAGGCAAGAGAATCACCTGAGCCCAGAAGTTGGAAGTTGCTGTGAGCTGTGTGATGCCACGGCACTCTACCAAGGGTGATAAAGTGAGACTCTGTCTCTACAAAAAAAAAAAAATGCTCATGCCTATTTATAATATATAACTTATACATTTAGTTAGGAACACACACTTTAAATTACCTATGAGGCAAAATCCATTAATTTAGATAACTGTTTTTTGTCCCACTTGCACATTTCATGCGACCATTTTATTTAAAATTCTTCACAATGAGTTCCTCATCACTAGTGTCGCTTGTAAAGCTAGAACAAATTTTCGCTTCTCGGTGAGTTGTTTGACAGATAGTGCTATTTTGGTTCTTTGTGAGATTCTGTCTGTACGGGAAATCTGCATTTAGCTGATCTCTTTTAGGTTTGTCCTGGGA